CATTTAACAAGGTAATTAATTTTCTGCCATTCAGCATTTAATACACAAAGTTATTCTACTTGCAGAAAACAAGCCTATGACTACTTCAGTTATAAGCTACTGTGTGCTTTTCTTACCCCATGTAGATCTGGAGTAACATTACAAGGGTCAGCATGATTTGTGGCAAGCCGCCCTTAACACAGTTCAGTGAAAAAAAGAAAGTCAGGCTGTGTACATTCTGGGAAGAACTTGCTCATCAAATCTGAATCTGACATAGATTTGGGGGGGGACCCCCCTGAAAAGACAACCACTTAATATGTCCTTGGAAAAAGGAACCTGGCTTTAAGGATCCAGAAGAGAAGAAGCAATTTAGTAGAATAATGGGACCACTTTAGGTATTATAGCTCTACCTTACTGAAGTGAAAATAGGAAGGAAGCAGAAGTTATTTCAACAAAAATAATGGCAATTGCAAAGTATGCTCAACTTAAAAAAATACTTTGACAGTCTGGACCTAGGATGGGGAGGAGAGATCTAGTATCTGGGCAAGTTAAAATCTTTGAGCCACTTAACAAATACTGCATTGCTTTTGTGTAGAAGATGTCTAGACATTCAAGGTAATTAGTTACGATAGATGGAAGAGATTTTCAGTTGCGGATTCCACCTTCCAATTACCTGTGCTGGGCTTCTATGAACAACCAATGCAATTTGGCCTGTGGGTTCATTATCTTTAAGTGATAGTAATGGCACTTCTGTGGGTTTTATCATTATTCTGCCAACCTAAGCCATTCAAGCATCACAACAAAAAAGGGAAGAAGCAAATAACAGTAATACCAGGGGGTTTTTTGTAACCAGCTATAAAACTAAATATCCTTCCCTCTCTGGACTGTAGCATGTCTTCAACTGGGACACAACTTATTTTATTTGTTTAACAAAAATTTATGATACAATACTTTTTCACTAGTACAGTGATGTAAAGGCTGCTCACTGAGGGAAAACACTTACTATAATTTCAATAATCCCTGGAGACTATAGGAAAAAAAAATCATCAAATTATGAAATGTGAAAACCCCATCCTAGAGTTCTTGCCCTGTCTTGTTCAATATAGGATATACATCAACGTGACAAATTGTGTACAATGCACAATATGTTAAATGAGCAGCTGTAGCCAGAAAGGGCTGGGATGGTCTAGAGAAGAGTCCATGGAAGGAGGCTGGCAAAAGCTGATTTCCCCTTTGGGCTTCAGGGGAACCTACTGAATAAATAGGGTGGGTTGAGGTATGGGGGCTAATGGATCCCTGATAATCTGGAGTCAGTACAAGCAAAGAAGGTTTGCATTTCCCCGGCGTTAGGGTGGGGGAGAGAAAGGTGGTAATAATAATAATAAAGAAAACAGGACACTTTCCTTTTGTGAAATCCCTTACATTAAAGCTTATTCTGGGATCCAAGTCCAATTTTCGGCAATTACCCCTCCCCGAAGATGCCACCCCCAACACACATTTCCCCATCTCACATTGTTCTGGAGAGTCTTTTCTCACATGGGTGGTGGCAGGAGAAGATGAGAAACTCTCCTTCTGTAAGCATCCTTAAGTCAACTTATCATAGGATCCAAGCTAGCAAATTTATAGTGAGATGCAGAGTTCTTTACTACTCTTGTCTCAGCAAACTACAAAGAAAAAAACATGCCCGGCCCAAAGTCCACCATATTCTGTTCTAAGGTGACCACTTTCAGGAATATGCCTCCTGAACCCCCGAAAAGTGAAACATTTTCAGTCAATGAAACAAAAGAAGGTTTTATAGGTCTGGCTGACATTCATGAAAACAGGACCCAAAAAAACCCCAACCCAGTTTATATTCAGGGTTACTTAATGATCCACCTTCTAGAATAATTCGACTGAGTCATAATCAATGTTAGACTTCGAGTTAACGATTTTACTCACACAGGTGCTAGAAATGCAAAAATGTGTTTTGAATGTGTTTGCAACTACCTGAGTTGCTATAGCAAACTGCTGAGCATATTTATGAGTGGACAGAAGGCAAGACCTTTAAGCATCAGAGATTTTAGAGACTCGCTTTAAAGTAGAATTTGTATTCAAATTAAAATTACAGATCTCTCTAAAATCTGGCCAGCCAAACATCGCACCATCATGTGGTATACTAATCCTCAACAAGTTAAAACAAAAAATGCTTCTTTCAAGTTGCACCAGATTATTTTTTATTTATTATTATTATTATTATTATTATTATTATTATTATCTATTATTATCATCCTATCATCATCAGTAACAAGGCATTAAAGCCAGTACAAAATTGTGGAACAAGGTTTGTGACTTACAACTGCTCTCACAGTGTTATATTTTCTTTACAAACCACTGCAATGAACGATAAACTTACACCTAAAGCAAGTTGCAGCACATTTTGTGCTGATCCATCTTTGGAGAGCTGATGATCTGGGGTAGCTAGGTCAGTAGAGATGAGACTCTTAATCTGAGGGTCATGGCTTCGAGCCCCATGTTGGGCAAAAGACTCCTGCGTTGCAGGGAGTTGGCCCAAGACGACCTTTCGTGGTCCCTTCCAACTCTACAATTCTGTGATCTTGCCTTGTATGCAAAAAGGAGAACAGGGGGAGGTGTTTGGGCACAGTTGTCTTACATTATGAATTACCCACCCCTCTAGAATAGTTACTTAGCAATCCAGAATCACTTTCATGGTCCCAAAAAGTTTCATAGTTCCAAAACTGTCTTGGGTATGCAAAAGGCTGGTATGTATGTCTTCCAGTTCCATTGCATGGTAAAATACTTGAAATTGAGGAAAGCTGAAAAGCAGTAAAGCTGTTCAAGCTAGAAACCACTGAGTGCAACCGCCTGAAGGAGCTCTTCGGGTGCAGCTGTCCAAGCTCGAAGGTAAACCAAGAACTAATAAATTTATGTTCTGCAAATATGCAAGCTTTTAAGCATTAATATTAACTGAAATAGGTCTAAAGCATTCCATATAACAGTTCATGCAATCATAGAATGGTAGAGTCTACCCATTTCAGCACTGTGTCTACTTATTTTATTTTTTTGCTGCCACAGGCAAAATTGTTGGGCCTTTGGGAGTCAGATCAACCCCTCACCCTGATGGTTAGTCACCCTTGGATTAGGAGATGACACAGATGTAACCGCTGCCCACAGTCTAAGTGCACTGCTATATCCCATACAGTACTCCAGTCTTCTGACAATAGCAAATGGTGAGAGATTGAGGGTGTGAGAAAAAACCACCACCTCTTCCATAGTGCATTACTGTGATACAGCCCCTCTCACAGAATGTGATATAAATGTGCTTTCCCACTTTCAAAGGCTTCCCCTTGTATCCCTCCAAGGTGACTATTTTCAAATGGAAAAACAAACATGCATATGGAGAGCTCATAAAAGAAAATAAACGTTTGCATGCACCAAGATTACGGTATCCACTTACTTCCTCATTAAATAATTTGCTAGTTTCTTTTTTAATAGGATCTATAAGTTGCACCTGGCCTGCAGAGAAGCCCACTAGTAGAGAAACACTTTCTGCCGTGGCTGTTAAATGATTGAAGTCATGACACGTTGGTTGTGTTCCTTTGTATATCCTTTTATCTATTGGTTTACTCAAGTCAGCAGCCTGCAAAAAGATTGAAATAAGATTAGCAATGAATATAACGGTACTCTAGTGTGCTCTACAGTAGAACAAGTCTGATGTTTGTAGCAACTGTGGCAACAATGCAGGATTAAAACCCAGAGAGAGTTTAGAAACTAACTTTAAGTAGACTATTTGGAAATCATGTACTAAAGGAACAGCAAATTTTTTTGTACAGTCAAGAGTCATCAGGAGGCCAGAATATATCTAGTCACTCATGAACTGACCTCTTCAGAAATGGACACAGTCTATCAAAAGTTGGCACCACCTGGGCTTCCCAGTCAGACAGAACATGCATTCATGGAAAGCATTACACAGTAACATGCACATTGGCAGCACATACAAAAGTTCAAAGAAGTTGCAACTGAGTATGGATATCTCAATTCCTTAACAAGAAGTTCCCTTACTCTGTAAACATAGTGGACCAAAAGTTTTACTGTATATTAACACCTTAGTACAAGATTTGGGTGACATGAAACTGCTGGCAGGTGGCCATCCTTGTTTGAAGCAAAATGTTCCAAGAATCTGTAACTCCAATGTATTATGTGGTGTGCCAATAAGCTTCACACTCTACATGAATGCATTGCTGCTTCATCTCTGGTCATCAGAGTCATTATCCGTTATCACAGAAGAGTAGTGCAATGGCATAGCGCTTCTGGTTTTGAAGGCTATGAGGTTCATCAGGTACCCCAGGATAGGTCACTCCATCAGTCTAATCTATTTTACCAGCTTGTTGAAAGGAATAATTCTGCATCCTTCCGTTCAGGCCAATTTGTACCAGGCCCCACAGGACCTGAACCATGTGCCCCTAAATCTGTTCTGGGTATTCCCCCAACCCTCACGAGTAGATTTGGGGAGGATGCAGGGAACACGTAGGGAGAGAAGATGGGAGAAAAGTCCTGTTGGACAAACATTAACCCTTGCACTGGTGGGACAGTTACGCAAGTCAATGCAGTAGGAATACCCAAAACATATGGTAGAAAAAGACTTAATGTTCAGTGTGGCACTGGCACAATAAAATAGCAGCTCCCATGTTAAGCTCTCCAACTTCTCATAAATTGAATCTCTCTTACCCATTACACTATGTCATCACATTATGATTTTGCACACCACTGGCCTGCCATGAATGAATCTGCAGAGAAGCTCACATTCCAACAGGCTGCAGCAGAGGGAAGAAGAAAAGTAAAGAGAAGAGCCATTGGCTCTGCTAAGAGGAACTAGCTGTCTTTTGGATTCTCAACTATGCCATAGCAGCAGCCATTCTATCAGGCTGTAGAAGAGGGGGAAATGGAAAGCAAGGTGACACGATCTGCTGTGCTGAAAGACCAGCTCCTTCTCTCACCAAACTGTTTCCATTCTAGCTGGGTCATTATAACAACTCAACTTTTAAAACATTTGGCATCCTCCACATTCCTTTTTCCTTTTTGTATACCTTAGATTGTAAGCCCCAGAGCAGGGGCTGCATTGTTTTTTATTGATCTTGTAAGTCATTCTGGAATCATTTTTGGCTGAAGAGTGGGATACAAATATTTTAAATAACTAGTGCATGGTGACATGTCATAAGTAAATGTGCCTGAGCATTAGAGAGAGATGCAATAATTCAACACAAAGGTTTCTGCAATATTTGTCAAGCCTAACATCTAGTTTCATCTTTATTGTCCATCATGAAGATGCTTAAAGATTACAAGAGCAATGTTAATATGTATTATTCTAGTAGGGTCAACAATGGAACTAACTGAATTGTGGAAGGTGTATTTTTCCATATGACCCCTGCTATTAAGAGACAGTTGTGGCAATAGAGCGCTTAATACTTTTTAGTACAACTTATACAGCTGACAAGTAAATTAAATGCTTAATCTACACAGTGCTAACTTGGACATCCTGAGAACAATCCTAAGGCAGTGGGAAGAACAGCTGGGAGGCTGCTGACCTACCTCTCTGTGGTTGGGAGAGAGTGGTCTTGAGGTCAAAGACCCAACACCTGGTGCAGCAATAGCAATCTTTGCTGCCTTTGGTGATTTAAACTAAGATCTTAAATATAATGTATTAGGAACTTAATCACATGTAGACTTTAAAGGCTGTGATATTGGGAGCAAGCAGTTGGCAAATATATTAGAAGAACTGTGATTAACAGAACAAGCCTACCTATGTCTACTCAGAAGTCCTATTGAATTCAATGGTACTAAGTATTGTTGGGATTGCAGCCTTAGGCTTTCCCTTGAGGCAGCATAAGGTAAGCAAATGAGTTTATTTTCTACCTCCTTTATAGGAGAAAACTGAATTCCAAATGGCTTAGGAACAATATTTGTTTTATGTGCACTTGCCTTTCCCTCCAATTTTGCACAGAGGTTTCATTCTAACTACTGGAAAGCTCACCCAGATTTATTGTAAACTCTAATTTTCTGTTTTCCTGTGGACTGGAAACATGGCTTTCAAGGTAACAACACCAATTACACTATATCAGTGATGGCGAACCTTTTAGAGACCGAGTGCCCAAACTGCAACCCCAAACCCATTTATTTATCACAAAGTGCCAACACGGCAATTTAACCTTTATATCTCATTTTTTCTGTGTGTTTCACGTTTCTTCTTTATGGCTGCTGTTGTAATAAATAATCCTTCATAAAAGTTATTGCATTACATTCTTCATTAAATTACCTTCCCACTGATATATAATTTTATGGTATAACTCGGTGCTTTTTTTTCTAAAAAAAAAGTTTAATGGCATTCTCATATTGACTCAAGAAAATCACCACCGGGGGGAAATAAATACTGTTCAGATCGGGGAAAATAAATACAGTGAATTTCTTCTCCCATTAAATTCACAAAATGTTTAGGGGTATGCGTTCCCACAGAAAAAACAACAACACTGGTATTACTCCAAAACAAAGTGGTGTTATGAACCATCAAACATTGCAAATACGTTTTTTCCAGAAGGTTCCACAATTTTGGCCACTAGCACACTGGAGGGCTGTACTAAGAGCCACCCTCTCCCAATTTTTTATGTGAGATAATCATGATTGTCTGCGTGCACACATACAAATAAATATAAATAAATAAACCCAACCAGATGGGCAGTATTATTATTATTTGCCGTTTCTTCAGCTGCCGTTTGACCGCAGCCTCCATGGAATGAATTTCTCTGTTGGCTTCTGCGGGAAAGCCCAGCAAACATGTAAACCCAGCAGCCCTTTCTTGGGTTGCTGTCTTTATATGCTTACTGACCTAGGAGTTGAGCCCAAGGCAGCTTACTCCCAAGTAGGAAAAATAGACTGGCGGGAGGCCCTGGTGCATCAAAAGTCAATGCTTGCTCAGCCCCTCGTTCGCTCACCAGGCCCTGGTGCCGCCGACTTTGGATGGCGCGCGTGAGCCCTCCTCTCCTCCTCCTCCTCCCGCACCCCAGGCATGGAAGCTGGCACGCATGCCATAAGTTCACCACCACTGAATCTGAAGCAGTTCCTAACTTTGTTAGGAGGTTGTATCTGAAAGGTGCTCTGTGCTTCCACTCACACTAAGTGGCTCTTCAAGTTATACTACCGATGCTTCCTCAGATCCAGCCTCAGTACTTAAAAGAGTTGGAATAAAAGCACTGAACATTTCATTATGTCTAATGCTTCAGATACCGTTTCCAAAGCACTGAATTAAATATAACCTCTTGCCATTTCATATTACAGCACTAACATATTTAATAAGAGTCCACTAAATTTAAGAGACTGTGCAAGCCAGAGGGCTAACCACTGGACCTGGGGGCAAGCAATTTTTAAAGGGTTTGTTACAAACATTAAAGAGCACCCTATAAGTAAAACAGAGGAAGCAAATACATTAACTATCCTTTAACTAACTCGTGGTTTTTTAATGCTCTGAAGGATACATTTCTCACCTGTCTAAATGCGCCTCTGAACAATGACATTTTATTTGACGGAGGAGAAAAGGACTGATGGTCCTTCTTGGGAGCCGTAATATTTTTCATCTTGGGAGCCGTTAATATTTTCATTCATTATTCTTACCATGCTGGAGGAACACATTAATACCATTGCTAAACTATTCTCTGCAAGACAGATACTCAGTGTGAAGACGTTCTGCATGACACACTGGTATAGGACAGTCATCAGAAACAGATCTAGCATCAAATTAGAGCCAAGCAAGCCCAGAAACACATACACACATTGAATTTAATGTGCCCATTTTTTCTTGGCAAGAGATACTGAAAGTCGATCTCTTATGCTAACCCCAAGGTGCCTGGATGACAAAATATGATTTTGCATAGGGATCTATCTAATCCACACCCCATTTCCAACACACTCTTCCAGGAAATCTCCAAGTATGGTATGAAGCAAACAAACTTCTACTGATGTTTACCCCCAATCCCTGGTATTTTGGCATACTTCCTATTGAACATGGTGGTTCAATTTAGCTATCATGGTTAACATTCTCTACAAATCTACCATTTAGACTGGAGACTATCACAACATTTTATTGAATAAAATTTCGTGAATTTTATGAGAATTTACCAAATGTTACGGTTTACCACAAACCAAATCTCTGCTCTTCTAATATTGCTGGTAGGATTACCAAATACCAACATCAATCTATTCACAGCTAAGTGGCAACAGCATCCGCTATGGTTTCAATTTTCTCTTCCCCACCTGCACTACCCAAAACGAAACCAGAGCAAGATGTAGCCAATGCTAATGTGCAGCAAACGAAAATACTGTTTTGAGAGTCCTAGATAAATCTTTTATACCAAGGTGAAAGGTACATGGGACTTAAATTCCGGTACTCCTTGGGCTGCCACCTTTTCCCTTAGGTCTGCTTCTGTTCCTGTAGCAACCTGACACACAATTCAGATTAGGCTTTTTCCGACAAATATATAAGGTAACAGGAAAAAGTTTCACCTATTTATCATCTGTATGTCAGACTACGGTTAAGCAGTCCATTTTTTCCTAACATGGACATAAAGCATCCGTCTATCACCTTGCATCCTC